CAGGAAGAACAGCAGATGAAGGCCAGACTTGACTACCCGGTCAATTCAAGGGCTGCCTGAGCTACAGAAGCTATAGTATGAGGCCTTTTAAAAAGGGACTGGGGGTAAAAGAATGAGCCATGATGGTATGTACCAGTATTTTCAGCATCTGGGACACTGGAGCAGAAGGTGCCTTGTGTTCTGGGATACCTTGGTCTACACTATATAGAGCTATATAGTGAAGATCTCAAAACAAAACAAAACAAAACAAAAAAAAAAAAGCAGAGACCAGACCCCAAGTTTGGTTCTTACACTGCAAACACCAGAGGGAGGGGGGAGTAAAGGACCAAAATAGTTGTTTCTTTACGCTTTAACCCCAGCACTCAGGAGGCAGTTCCGTCCACAGAACCCACATGGTAAAGGAGACAGCTGGCTTGTCTTCTGACATCCACACATGGCATGGCTCATAGATACGCACACACATACACATATATAGACAAGGAAATGCAACTTTAAAGTAAGATCTTTTAATCTTAGAGGCCATGTATCCATACACAGCACATGTACAACACACACACAGGAAAATAGGAGGAAAGTGTTGAGCCTATAGTAGGTGCTCAATAAACAAATGAGTTACCTCCTGTTCTGACTCCCCCACTGCCTCCTGTTGGTGTCCTGGCTGGGCCAGCCATGGCGGCCAGACCCTTTTTAGTATCCCCTTACAGTGTTCTCATTGCCATTTCTCCAAGATGTGAGAAGAACTGAGGCCAAATGAAGGGATCAAATATCCTGATCATGAAGATTCCACACCAGACTCCCTGCAGTCACGGCACTGTGCTGACCAAATTATTGACTGCAAAATGGAGATCTTTGGTAAGGACAGAGTCCCGGGGCTGGTGCCAGAATGAGCCAATTTTCCCAGTTGCTGGGGATGTGACTCTGTGTGTGTGTGTGTGTCAGGTGTGTATCAGAGGTCAGCTGCTCTGGGTGTTGTTCCTCAGGTTCAGTCTTTTGAGACAAGGTTTCTCACTGGTTAAATTTCCTCTCTTCATATGCCAAATGATGAGAATTTAAAAAGTCTATGGCTGGATGTAGTGGTACACACCTATAACCCCAGCATTTGGGGGATAGAGGCAGGAGGATCAAGAATTCAAGTCCCAGCCTGATCTACATAGCAAGCTGGAGGCCAGGCTGGATTGCACAAGACCCTGTCTCAAAAATAAATAAACGAATAGACAAATAAATAAATATAAATAAATAAAATCAAAATCTTCCTATGGGGTGTTGTTACCAAATTGACAGACTCTTTCCCCACACAATGCCACTAACGAATTACTAGATTGTTCTAGCAGCAGAAAGGAATTTGTATGCAATGGTCAGCGGAGACGGTACTCACACTCTAAAGAAACTGTCTCTTCTAGCAGGCTTGGAGCCTGAGTGCTTCCTAAGGTCAAACAATTGGGGGTGGGGGTGAGAGGAAGCATCTGCAACCGTCCAAACCTTCCAGGAAGATTTCCAGGAACCTTGCTGTCCTTTTTTCCTCTTCTCTATTCTGGGCGTGGCCCAGCTTTGTCGTGACAACCGGTAGGGATTTATTTATCATCACAAAGATCTCAAGGTTGTCTAGAGTGCCAACAAGGCGCCCAGACCAGTTGTCTGAGGCCCTTTGCTTCAGTGTGTGGAGACCTGTGGTCATCCGATGGACAACAGCTGGGCACATGTGGACATCGGGCTTTCGCCTTTTTGCAAGCAAGCAGCATCAGATTAGCAGAACAAGGAGCGGTCGGTATTTTCACAGTTCCGACCGGTGACTTTGTTTTACCGGCCAAGGGAGCTGCTCCCTTCCCACTGTCCTCGCAGGGCTTGCCCTAGTAATGAGCAGCAAACCCACAGGGCACCACACAGCCCAAGAAGCCTCCAGGGTGGTCAGAGGGAAAGCACAGTCGCTGGAGCCAAGGGAACAACGGTCTCAGCGGTGCCACCCACCGCCACCTTGAGAGACTCTCTCCCCCAGGCTTTTTATCTGTACACTGGGGGGGGTGGTGGTGGTCAGGGGCTGGAGAGATGGTTCAGTAGTTAAGAGAACGAGCTGCTCTTCCAGAGGTCCTGAGTTCAATTCCCAGCACCCACATGGTGGCTCACAACCATCTGTAATGAGATCTGATGCCCTCTTCCTGGTGTAGACAAGAACATAAATAAATAAATAAATAAATAAATCTTTAAAAATAATAAAATTAAAAAAAAAACTGGGGTGTCCTGCTATCCTCCAAGAAGGACTTTGAAAGGGAAGGGAGGACACAGGAGGCGCAAGGCAAAGTTTGGAAAGCAGGGAACACACTTGGGCTGTGTGAACTAGAAAGGGCTTTGCACAAATTACTGACAAATTTCCTGGATCAGGCAGCTGATGTCTTCTCCAAAGCTGGAGGAAGGCCCAACTCCTGTAGAGCTAAACACCAAACCACAAATACAGACTCTAACCCAGAGATCTCAACCTTCCCGATGCTATGGCCCTTTAATACAGTTCCAAAGGTTGTGGTGACCCCAACCATAAAATTATTCTCGTTGCTACTTCATAACTGTAATCTTGTTACTGTTATGAATTGTAATATAAATATTAGTGGTCACCATTGGGTCTTAGGTGACCCCTGTGAAAGAGTCATTTGACACCCCCCCCCCAAAAGGGAGTTCTTAGAGGCTTCTACCCTCATGATTCAGAGAAGTGGCTGCCCAGAGCAGCTGTGCTGAGGGCCTAGCATCTGCCCTTAGGAGCTGGTTCCACTTCCAGTGTAGACTCCTGTCGCACGGCTCCCAGACCCTAGCGGAGTTACTGCCCCATCTTGGGCCTGAGCCTCAATCCACTGAGTGGCCCTGAATGGAAAAGGATGGAGCAACGGCCTTCAACAAGAGCTCTGCAGGCCAGGAGAGGGGAGGCCTTTAATTACCATAAAAAGATAAAAGGTTGGGGAGGAACTGGGAGGAGTAGAGGCAGGGGAAATTGTCAAAATAAATAAATAAGAATGAATAATAATAGTAATAATAATAAAGATAAAACAGACCCCATGCCAGGGACTTAACGTATCTCGACAATCAGGAGGGGACATTTGCCCAGGAGACACATTTGCTCCCTTCTTGCCCAAGTCCTCACTGAGCAGAAGGAGTGATCAAGGTGACTGGGGTAAGGTCACAGCTGGCTGATGGATCACTGACTATCCCAAACAAGGACAGTTTTGATGCTACTATCTTTTCATTTACCTAGTAGATATTATTTGGAGGGGGAGTACTGGAGGGGGGGTCTCATGTAGCCCAGGCTAGCCTTGAATTCATGATCCCACTGCCTCCCCCTCGGGAATGCTGGTAGCAGAGATGTGCTTGCCACACCCAGCTCAGTGCTTTTCCTGAGCACCTGTGGTGAGAAGGTGCTAAGGGCGAGAAGACAAGACGCGATGAGCGGTGAGATCTTTAGTATCAGCACAGTGGTGACACCATGTTCCTACCGCCAGCAAAGCATGTCCACCCGCCTTCTTCGTTCACCTCGTCACAAGCCTGCAAAGTCAGGATTTTTAACCACAAAGGAGAAGAGTGAGGCCCTTCAAGTGCCCAAGGCCCCAGTTTATAAGCAAAACTGAAGCCACATAAGGCCCAGGCCAGTCACCTCCTTTTTCTGGGTACCCAGAGGAAGGGATTCCCTCTTCTCTGGAAGTCAACCCCTACCCACTTCCAACATACTCTTTCTTGGGCCTTGACCATCTGGAGCACAGCTGCGGGTCCCTTATCCCTCATTAGTGAACAAGGCCCTGACTAGCAACTCTGGTTAGTCACCCTCACCCCACCCCAACACTTCCTGCCAGTGATGGACAGCCAGTACCACACTGGGTTCTGTCTTCAACACCTGAGAATTAACATCACAACTGTTTGTGGGCCTTGTCCTTTGTACCAGTGACCCAGTTATCTTCCTTGTCCTTCCGGGATGTGCAGCAGTGAGTGAGGTCCCAGCACTCAGCCTTGTCCCAGACCCTTTTGCTCACCCTCCCCACCCGGCCCGAGAAAGACAAAGCCGGCAGGAGAGCCCACACAGAGAGGGCTAAAAACTTGGCCAAGGTCACACAGCTGTTAAAACAAAGGGCAGTCTGCTGCTAGTGGTCACCCAGCTTCATCTCAGAAAAGACCATTTCCCTGGAAGGATCAGTCCCAAGAAACTCTGCCTAAATCAGGCCTGATGAAAAAGCAGAGAAGCCAACCCCTCAGAAGGCTTCAAGAGGGTTGAAAACCAAAGTCTGGGGCTAGAGAGATGGCTCAGGGGTTAAGAGCACTGGCTGCCCTTGGAGAAAGCCCAGGTCCTGTTCCTGGCACCCACTTGGTGGCTCCCAACCGACTCTAAAGCCAGTTCTAGGGAGCTGACTCTCTTTTCAGAGCTCCCTCAGCACCAGGCACACACATGGTGAGCATACACACGGGCAGGCAGAACACTCGTGCACATAAAGTAAAGAATAAATCTTTAAACAGTAAAAAGATAATCTAAGACTTGCCTGCACTGCGCAGTGAGATCAAGGCCAGCCTCAGAGGTTGGCGGTTGGCGAGACGGGGTTGGTAGATAGCTCAGCGTAAAGGCACCTGCTGCTAAGTCTGAGAAGGAAAGTCAATCCCCAGACATAGATGGGCGAAGGAGAGAACCAACTCCCACAAGCTGCCTCTGACACATGACACACGTGCACTGTGACACACACAAACACATACAGTAAGCAAATAAAATGTAATAAAAATCAAAGAGAGCTAAAGGCAGAACTCCGTGGTAGAGCACTGCCCAGGCACGCATACGGTTCTGGGTCTGGCCTGCTGTACAGCAAGGAAAAAAAAAAAACCAAACTCTTTTAAACATCTTGGCCTGAGAAAGATGCCAGAATAGTTCTTTAAAAATCCAGCCACCAATCCGCTTCTGTATGGCCAGGGGCCATGACTTTGGCCTCCTGAGGACATCTGTGTAGGACTCTCCCTCGCCCAGCCAGGACTGGAACCTTCCTTACCTGTAACATTCAATGTAGGCTCTGCGTGTCCCTCGGGGGTCTAAGCCCCGAGCCCTGTGTGACAGCCTGGCAATTGCAGAAGTGAGGAAACACAGCGTATCACTGCCAAGTCACCCCTGGGAGGAAACACAGCGACCCAGGGCCTCTCCAGCGGATGCCACAGGAACCTCCAAGCTGAGCCAGCCAGACCTGAGTACTGCAAGGGTTTCCTGCAGAGCAAGCAAGGGGCAGAGCGGGTGTAAGCAGTAGCCACTGGGCCAGGGTATGTGGGGAGGGGAGAGAGGGAGGGAGGGAAGAGAGAGAGAGAGATAACCAAAACCAAATAATCAGTTAGTACAAAGAGGAGAGAGAGAGAGAGAGAGAGAGAGAGAGAGAGAGAGAGAGAGAGAGAGAGAGAGAGAGAGAGAGAGAGAGAGAGAGAGTCAGAAGGGAAAGGAGAGGGAGAGGAGAGGGCAGAGGGAGAGGAGAGGGAGGAAGAAAGAANGAGGAAGAAAGAATGATGCAAATAGGAATGAGAGGGAGCAGAGACTGAGACCGAGGGTGTGAGGAGAGAGAAGGGACGAGCTACAGAGAGCGTGTGCCGAGTAGGCACGGATGAACAACTGAGTGTGTAGGGCAGAGAGAAAGGGAGAGGCCACTAAATAGGAAAAGGATGGGAAGGGAGCGCTGGAAGCACAGTTGTGCTCATTAAGACTGGGCAGGGCATCCCTGGTGACCAAGAAGCCCAAGAAGCCACGGGGCTGGAGCAAAGAGGAAACTTCTCAAGTCCCTGAGCCGGAGGTTGGCTGCAAGGGAGTTCTGGGGAGTAGGAGAGGGTGAAGAGGTGTGGGCAGCTGGAGTTGAGCCCTAGTGAGTGTGTGAGAAGGTGAGTCAGGGGAGGACTAACAAGCACACAAAGGAGTGAGAAGCCAGAGCCCCGCGTTTTGGTTTCCTTCTATTTAACACTCCTTGCTTCAGCCAGCTAACCAGCCTACAGAGAGCAGTCAGCACCAGGTCCCGATAGACTCTAGCTAAGGACGCGCACCCTTCAGGTACCAGTGGACCCAACACCCTCCTACACACTGTGGGAAACTGAAGCCCAAAAAGGACCGAAGTCTGTTTTACAGTGACACATGGCCAAACAGAGCCAAGAGGGCAGGGCCTCTCCACACACACTGCCCCACCGCAGTTCCTGAGTGGCTGGGCTAGCCCCTTGCTGCTGTTGTCAAATGTTGGTGACGTTCCTTATCGATGCCAAAATGGCTCCTTCCAGGTCAAAGCCTCATTAACACGTGCTTCAGCCCCAGAACTAAAGCAGCAGGGTCTGTGGCCTGCATTTACAGTTCCGGCCCTGAAAGGTGGAGACAGGAGGACAGGGGTTAAAAGCCATTCTTAGCTATGTACTGACTTCAAAACTATTTGCTGGGCTGTACACCTTTAATGCCAGCACTCGGGAGGCAGAGACAGGCAGATCTCTCTGAGTTTGAGATCAGCCTGGTCTACAAAGGGAGTTCTAGGACAGCCAAGGCTACACTGAGAAACCGTGTCTTATAAAATAAAATAAAATAAAATAAATTGAAGAGTGATGGAGACACTTCTTTGGCTTCTGTATGCACGTGCATGGGTTTGCACATGAGTACACACACATGAGTGTGTGTGTGTGTGTGTGCATATCCCAAGAGAATTTTCCAAGGAACTTCACAAGCTGACTACTTAAATTCCAGATGAAAAAGCAAAGATCCAAGAATAGCCAACGGCTTCCTGAAGAATGACCATACACAAACCAGGAGGCAAGCTATGTTTCTTCCTGACATACCAACTCACTCTCTCTCTCTCTCTCTCTCTCTCTCTCTTTCTCTCTCTCTCTCTCTTTTAAGACAGAGTTTCTCTGTAGCTTTGCAGCCTGTCCTGGAACTCACTCTATAAACCAGGTTGGTCTCGAACTCACAGAAATCTGCCTGTCTCTGCCTCCCAAGTGCTGGGATTAAGGTATGCACCACCACTGCCCAGTTGACATATCAAATCTTAATATGAAGTTACAGCATTTAGACGTGTGTTTCATTTGGCAAATGATCAACAGAGATATTTCACAGTTGATAACAATTTGTGTGTTGTATATAGTAAATGGTTATGGGATCTATCTTGGGTGACAAGAGTCTGTTGTGTGTATATGGGTATGTATGGGGAATGTTGTATTTTGAGACAGGGTTTCTTTGTATAGCCTTGGCTATCCTGGAACTAGTTCTGTAGACCAGACTGGCCTCAAACTCAGATATGAGGCCACTTCTGCCTCCCAAATTCTGGGATTAAAAGCATGCACTATCACTGCCTGTCTATATTTTTGAGATTTTAAAAATTTATTTATTTTAAATCATATGTTTTGTGTATATATGGTCTGTATGTGTGTGGAAGGGTTTCCGATGCCCTGGAGCTGGAATTACAAGTGGCTGTGAGCCACTTGATATGGGTGCTGGGAATTGAACTCAGGTTTTCTGCAAAAACAGCATATGCTCTTTTTTTGTTTGTTTTGTTTTTGAGACAGGGTTTCTCTGTGTAGCCCTAGCTATCCTGGAACTAGATCTTGTAGACCACATTGGCCTTGAACGCAGAGATCTGCCTGCCTCTGCCTCCAGAGTGCTGGGATTAAAGATGTGCGCCACCATTACCCAGCCTTTTTTTTTTTTTGCAGTACATGCTCTTAGGGCTGAGCCATCGGTGCATGCCTTTAATCCCAGCACTCGGGAGGCAGAGACAGGTGGATCTCTGTGAGTTCGAGACCAGCCTGGTCTACAGAGCGAATTCCAGGACAGGCTCCAAAAGCTACAGAGAAACCCTGTCTTAAAAAAAAAAAAAAAGAAAAGAAAAAAGAAAAAAGAAAAAAGAAAAAAAAAAGGACTGGGAAGATAGCTCAAAGGTTATGAGCACTGGCTGCTCTTCTGGAGGTCCTGAGTTCAATTCCCAGCAACCACATGGTGGCTCACAACCATCTGTAATGAGATCTGGTGCCCTCTTCTGGCCTTCAGGCATACATGCATGATGTGAGATATCCTTCTGTATATGTGTTGCCATTATTAGTTGATGAGTAAAGCTGTTTTCAAAAAAAGAAAAAAGAAAGAAAAGGGACTGAAGAGAAGGTTCAGTGGTCAAAAAATAGATAGATAGATAGATAGATAGATAGATAGATAGATAGATAGATAGATCGAGCTAGCTGGTCAGTGGTGGCGCACACCTTTCATCCCAGCACTCAGGAGGCAGAGGCAGGCAGATTCTGTGAGTTTGAGGCCAGACTGGTCTACAAGGGTTAGTTCTAGGACAGGCTCCAAAGCAACACAGACAAACCCTGTCTTGAAAAAATAAGGGGGGGGGGGGGCTGAGCCATCTTTCCAGCCAAGAATTTATTTTACTTTTATTTATTTTTTAAAGATTTATTTATTTATTATGTAAAGTGTTCTGCTTGTATGTATGTCTGCATGCCAGAAAAGGGCATCAGATCTCATTACAGATGGTTGTGAGCCACCATGTAGGTGCTGAGAATTGAACTTAGGACCTCTGGAAGAGTAGCCAGTACTCTTAAACAATAAGCCATATCTTCAGGCCCTATTTTTGGTTTTTCCGAGACAGGGATTCTCTGTATAACCCTGGCTGTCCTGAACTCTCTTTGTAGACCAAGTTGGACTCAAAGTCAGAGAGAGATCCTCCTGCCTCTGCCTCTGAAAGCTGGAATTAAAGATGTGTACCAACCACTGCCTGGTTAAGATTTTATTTTTTAACTATGTGTATACATGTATCTCTGTGTGTATGTGCACTTGAGTGCAGATATTTTCAAAGGCCTGAAGAGAGCGTCAGATTCCCTTGGAGCTGGAGCTGTGAACCACCTGACATGGATGCTGGGAACTTAACTCAGGTCCTCTTAAGGAGCAGTATTTGCTCCTAACCACTGAATCACCCATTGCTCCAGCCCTGATTTTTTTTTTTAAAATAGGGTCTCAGGTAGCTCTGTGACCTCACAATTGCTATAGAGCTGAGGATGACATTGAGCTCCTGATCCTCCTGCCTCTATCAGCTATAGACTTCGGCCCACACAGCTGAGGCTGTATTTTGTATGATGTGTATGAGAGAAATGTGTGTCTGTTCATTGTTAAAGATCTGAGGCCTGAGAGGTGTGTGTCTGTGTGTGTGTCTGTGTGTGTGTCCATCAGAGAGACAAGTGGGAGTTAATTAGACACAATTTAGCTCTAAAGATCCATCCAAACCCTGAGTGGTTCTTAGGATCAGCCAGACACCCAGTTATACCTGGATCTCATTCAGACCACTTCTTACCTGAGCCGTGGTTGAGGATGTTGGTCCAAGAGGCCACAGAGCCGCAGGTAGGGAAGTCACTGAGAGCCCGTTTCCTTGAGAGCATGTTTCCTTGAAGATTCCTGAGCTCAGGAAGCAGGGTAGAAAATGAAGGAGGAAGCCAAAAGCAGGCCCAGACCAAGTGTGTGACTCACTTTATTCTGCCAGCCAATCCGTTTGTTCAGTGGGATGAAGAATTAGGGGAAGCCTGCCTACCAGCTCCGGTGAACGGGCAGGGCACCTGAGGCCAGGAAGCTCTTTGGGTGGAGCCCCAACCCAAGGTCACCAGAAACACTCCTACCTAAGCAGATCAATTCAGCCCCCACTGGGCCCAGAACCAGGCCTGGGGTAGCAGAAGATTAAAGAATCCTACTCTGAAGGAAAGAAGGGCAGTGAGCCCCATGACAGAAAGCCCCAGAGCTGATTACAAAAGACACTAGTCTGAGGGGACACACAGAGGATCACAGACACCACAGGTACTCCTAGAGAGGAACACTGGATGCCTAGCCTGCTAGAAGACTGCCTGTAGTTCTCTGGGTTTTTGTTTGTTTTTTACTTTTACTCTTTGGGGGCCTGGCCCCCAGCTCCCAGATGAATGCATGGAAACTCATTCTTACTTATGAATGCCCAGTCTTAGCTTGGCTTGTTTCTAGCCAGCTTTTCTAACTTAAATCATCCCCCTACCTTTTGCCTCTGGGATTTTGCCTATCTTTATTCTAAATTTCTTTCTTTCCTTCTTACTCTGAGGCTGGCTACGTTGCTGGGTGGCTGGCCCCTGGCATCGTCCTCGCCTCCTCCTTCTATTGATTCTCTCTGCCTGGCAGCCCCACATGCCCCTCTCCTGCCTAGCTATTGGCCATTCAGCCACCGGGTGTTTTTGGCAGGTAAAGTAACACAGCTTCAGAGTTAAACAAATGCACCATAAAAGAATGCAACAGATCTTTGCAACATTAAACAAATGTTCTCCAGCATAAGCGAATGTAACACATTTTAATAGTCCACAACACGTGCCTGCCTTCTGAAGCTACCACAGCTGAGAGGAAGGTAGACATGCCTTTCTCCGAGGAGCCCTTCATCTGGTGGAAGCCAAAGGCCGCAGCTCTCACAAGA